CTTGACAATTCCCCCCAGAACTAATGTGAGCGCTCGTACGGGGACGTTAAAACGCAACTCAGCAGACCCTACAGCACTTTACGTTGTGACGGAGGACGGACTGGAGGTGACAGGAAAGGCGGAGACGCGAATGCGGCACACACGGAGTAGCTGGTCGGCCGCGCGTCTCCCTGTGAGGAATAGAAGGGAGCGCTCCATCTTTTGGCGGGTCTTTTAAGAGCCATGGATGAGGATGATAGTGTGTTGTGTTGTGTGTGGATGATCGTGTGTAGTATGTGTGTGTATGTGTGTGATGTGTGTATTATAATAATAATATATTATATATAATATATATATAATATATCGAGATGACATAGCATCATGAAATAATGTTAGCTATATAAAGTTATATCGCAGAAGCACACACAGGAACACACCACACAAGAACACACACACATCAGAGAAACACACACACACATAAAGATATAAAAGCACACACACAACACAGCACAGCGACACCACCACACCACATCACGACAAACGACACAGCAGAAATGATAGAAGAGACAATACTACAACACGATATATAATGTGACTGATCGAGTGCATTATATGAGATACCAATCTGCTCAGTATGTACATTAGCTGATAAATTGATATATATGTACCACGATGGATACTAATATAGTACGATATATTAATATAATATGAATCTAATCATAAATAAGTGTAGCTCGGCGCAATGGTCACACGAAAAATAATGAAGGAACTAAAATACCAAACGACAGACAGACATATTTAGAAATAAAGCTTAAACATCAAAGATGATTAGAAGGAAATGTCAATCCACGTAGATGGGAACTGAAATGGGCACTGAGGCATGATTTGGCCATCCCAGATCTGCTAATCTGGTATCTAAATCTGATATCTAAATCTGGTATCTAAAATCTAAATCTATCTAATCTGGTATCTAATATCTAAATCTGATCTAATCTAAATCTGATATCTAAATCTGGTATCTAAATCTGATATCTAAATCTGGTATCTAAATCTAAATCTGATCTAAATCTGTAAAATCTTATCTAAATCTGGTATCTAAATCTGAATCTGGTATCTAATCTTATCTAATCTAATCTTTATATCTAAATCTGATTCTATCTAAATCTGGTATCTAATCTTTATCTAAATGATATCTATCTAATGTGATAACTAAATCTGATATTAAATCTGTATCTAAATCCTGATAGTCTAAATCTGGTGTAATCTAAATCTGATATCTAAATCTGGTATCTGAAATCTGAATCTGATTACTAATCTATATCTAAATCTGATATCTAAATCTGTATATCTAAATCTGTATAATTCTGATATCTAAATCTAAATCTATCTAAATCTGGATACTAAATCTAAATCTAAAAATCTAAATCTGATATCTATCTGAATCTAAATTAATATCTGATCTATGCAAATCTAAATCTGATATCAAATCAAATCTGATATCATATTAAATCTTGGTATCTAAATCGTTTTTTTTTTTCTGTTTTTGTTTTTTTGTTTTTTTTTTCCAACACCGACGAACAACCAAACAACACAACACAAAAACAAAACGCTAACACAAACACAACACCAAAACACCAAAAACAACACCAAAAAAACAACAACAACAAAAAACAAACAAAAACAACAACACCAAAAAACAAACACCAAAAACAACACCAAAACACACCAAAAACAACAACACCAAAACAACAACACCAACAACACCAACAAACCCAAAAACAAACAACCAAAAACACAACCACCAAACAACACACACAAAACCAACACCAAAAACAAACAACCACAAAACACAAATCAAAAAAACAACACCAAAAACAACAACACCAAAAAAAACAAAAACAACAAACCCAACACAGGACCCTTAAGACATCTCCAGAGCGGAAGAGGGAGCTGTGACAGGACGCCCCCCCCCCCCCCGCTTCCGTTATCGGGAAGACAACAGAAAAACAACGGACGAGAAGGACGTTGATTAGGCAGGCTGTCACAGAAAGGAGGGGGGGGGAGTTGGTAAATGGGGCGAGGGAGAGGGAGAGAAGATTGCGAGGAGGAGGAGGGATGAGAGGGAGAGGGAGAGAAGACTGCGAGGAGGGAGAAGGGTGAGAGGGAGGAAGAGAAGATTATTTAGGAGACGGGGAGAGATTGAGAGGGAGAGGAAGAGAGGATAACGAGGAGGGGGGGCGAATGAGAGGGAGAGGGAGAGGAAGAGAAGATTATTTAGAATAGGGAGAAAGGGAGAGAAGATTGTGAGGAGGGAGAGGGAGAGGAAGAGAAGATTATTTAGGAGAAGGAGAGACGGAGAAGATTGCGAGGAAGGAGAGAGGATGAAGGAGAGGAAGCAGAAGATATCAGGGAGGATGAGAGGATGAGAGGGAGAGGGAGAGAAGATAGCGAGGAGG